GCAGCCTGGGTTTTGTAACATGATAAACCTCATCAGTGGAGGGGACTGTGTGAGCATTTGACAGGATGTAGCTCAGATGCACATTGAGATGTTAAGAAGCTTGCAGAAATCCTAACTCTTTCTCTCTCTCTTTTTTTTTGTAAAGGATTTTTAAAAATTTTGTGTGCATGTGTGTATGCATGTGTACATGTGTGTAAGTGCTCTTGGAGGCCAGAAGAGGGCGTCAAATCCTCTGGAGCTAGAGTTACAGGCAGTTGTGAGCCATCTGATGTGGGTGCTTGGAATCAAACTCCAGTCCTCTGCAAGAACAGTAAGCACTGTTACCTACCGACCCATTTTTCTGCACTCCCTACCTCTCTGTAGATAGGGAAACAGATCTCAAAGGAACAGCCTGACCTGCTGGGACCCCACAAGTAGAGAGCAACTAAGCTAGGATTGGAAGCCAGCCCTTGCTTATGGAAAGGCTTTTCAACTTAGAGTTTAAGGACTAGACCCTCCCAGGAATGTCTTGGCTTATGAAAACTTTCTCTTTTTTCCCCACTGGGGATGAAGCCCCGGTCCTACACGTGCTCGGGAAGCACTCTTCCACTGATTTACAGCTCCAGCCTGAAGTTGTTGGATCATTTGTATCGTTCCAAGTACATACTTACTAGTTTCTCCGAAGTCCCACTGCTCTTCTTTCTTGTTTCTTTTAGCTTACACTCTGTGGGTTTTAATTATGGAAGGTGGGGTTCTTGCTTCTCAGTCCCCGAGCCCTGCGCTTGTCATGAGACCTGACATCAACTTGATCTTCCCTTCCCATTTACTTACCTGTCACTACTGTGCAGACCATGAGACTCCTAAGAGCAGGCACCATGCCCTCAGCAGAGTGTGTGTCACACAGTCCCAGTCGAGTCAGAATCAGCCGGTCAGGACAAGGAGAGCCTTTGACCTCTGGGCGGCATACACATTTGCATCCAGACTGCTTTGGCAGCCCCCGCAGGCTTAGCTCATCCCTTTGAATGCTATTGGACTGTGACCCAGAGGTGTCTCTCTTAGGCCTTGCTCTTCCTCTGTGTCTCTCCCATGATGACTCATACGTGTCATAAATCGCTGCTGGTGTTCAGAGTCAGTGACACTACACTAGTCTCAGACATGGCAAAGAAAACCATAATTCATCACAGCAAAAGCCACTGCACATCTGCAGCCCACTCAGAGCGGCAGCGATCAGATCTTAATGACCGAAAACAATGGCTTATAAGACAGTTACACCCCTTCATCCCACTCCATAGGCGCAGCGGGGCTTATTCACCCCGATTTACACACAGGGGGTGACCAGAGCGACTCAGTGACAGATCTGGGGTTTAGAGGTAAGTCCTCAACCATCTCTTGGATCCTGGCTTCTCTTCTGTGATAAAGCAGTGTGGCACTGATTGATTGTGGGCTTCCAACAGTGTGGAGGTGACAAACTCAGGATAGTCTCACTAGGGATGGAGGGGACAGCTTTATGTAGTGGAGTGTCATGTGGCCACCAGCCTCCTTCATCCTTCTTTTGGGAGACAAATGAGGAAATCCGGGGACCTGCTTTCTGGATAATACATGATTAGCTCCATGGCGAGGCCAGTATTTTGTTCTACTTTCCACTCCTTTGTGCATGTGCATGTACACACACACACACACACACACACACACACACACTCATGCATGCATGCACACACACACATGCACACTGAAAGAAGCAAACAGGACATTTATACAAAGAAATAAAGCAGCAGAATACAATTGTAAATTGGCAGAACCACTTTGAGAAAGCTTTTTAGCACTATCTATCTCATGGATATGGGTCTAAAAAATATTACTCATACTAGAGTATAATAGATATACACTATAATATTCTAGATCCATTATTTATAGTATCATAGAACCAAAATTCCAACTAGAGTAGAAAGGGCAAAAAATAATGTTGAACACTCCTGTAAGAAAGACATCACTACGCACAGTAAAAAAAGCTGCTGCCAATGAATAACAATGCTTGTTATGAAAGGACCAAGCAGATGCCATAACAGGCTGCTTTCAGAGATCAGGCCTCAATTTCAATTTCCTGAGACTTAAGCAAGCAGTTTCTGGGAGGGTGGTGAACAAAAGACATAGTCCTTGAAGTAGCTCCCTTTCTGTACATACTCTTACTGCTCAAGGTCCAGTCAATCGTTTACTGCCTGGGACCCCTCACCAACTTAGAACTACATACATAGGTCAATGTGAATGTGCAAGGCCAGCCAGTCTCCATGGCAGCTCAAGAACAGAGCCTGGGCCACTCAGTCACCCCCCACAGTCAGTACATGCTAGGCCAGCCAGCCTCCATGGCAGCTCAAGGACAAAGCCTGGGACTTGTCCAGTCGTGCCCAAAAATGATAACTGTAACTCCCAACCAATAAATTCAAAGGTTACACACCCTTGCCCAATCATGTGATGCAAAGGTTTGTACCACCCTGCTTGTGGTTTTTCCCTTTAAAAACCCCTCACCCTGAGAGCTCAGGGCTGTCCTCCTCCACCCGCTATGTCAGAGCATTGGACAGGGACCAAGCCTGGGCTTGCTTGTTATCAATAAACCCCTGTGTGTTTTGCATCAGATAGTGGCATTGTGGTGGTCTTGCTCAGGGGTCTCGTGACATGGGCACATCAGTTACAGACATGACACTGACTAGTAGCCAAACACAAATGCTTGTCTCTGCCCATAGGTTCAACATTGGTGGCTTCAACCAAACTTGGATAGAAAACGATCATTAAAGAAGCAATTATGGGGCCTGGGGAGATGGATTAATGGTTATAAATACTTGCTGTTCTTGCAGAGGACCTGAGTTCAGTTTCCAGCACTGACATGGTGGTTCACAGCCATCTCTAACTCTTGTTTCCAGGGGATCCAACACCCTGTTCTGGCCTCCATGGGCAGTGCACATACATGGCACACATACATATATGCAGGCAAACATTCATACACATAAAATAATATTTTTTTAAGAAAGAATATATTGTGCTGTGTCGATATGTAGATTTTTTTCTTTGTTATTATTACCTAGATACAGTATAATAGCTGTTTTTGTATAACATTTCCTTTAAGTGTCATAAGCAATTAAGGATGACTTAAAGTGTGCAGAAGGCTATATATATGTAGTATGTGTATGGGGCTGAGGGGATCCACATACTGGAGCTAGAACCCAGGACTTTATGCATGCTAGGCAAGTGCTTGGTCGCTAAACTACATTCCTGGCCCAGAGCTATATGTAAACAATATGCTCTTTTATATAAGGGACTTGAGGACCTGAGAGGGTGGGCATCCATGGCAGAACTCTACTGTAGTGTTCCATCTCTGCAGTTTAAAAACAATCAAAGTTGGTGTATGGTGAACAGTGAGATGGTGGCTGCCTTTGTGGAGCATTAATAGGGAGGCAACACAGGCAAGCTTTTCAGGATGCTGGGAATTAGTTACACGCTGTTCTGGTGGAGGTTGCATGAGTGTATACCATGAAGGTCGTTAATCTCTATGTCTAGGATTTATGTGCTTAATTAAGTATAAACTATACCTCAATAAAAAAAAATTAAAGGGATAGATTTCTTAAATCATGTTTTTTTCCTATGTATATGTGAAAAATTCTAGGTATATATGGAAATTTTTTCTACCCCTTACTACATTTAGGCATTCTTAATGTTTGAGTGACCTAATTTCTTCCAAAGGGGCATAATAGCAATAATGATACTTCTCTTAGACTTGTGGGTTTGTCTGCTTTCCATTATGGCAACAAAATACTTGAGATAAACAGTTTAGAGGAAGGTCTGTTTGAGCTCATAGGTGTAGAGGTTCAAGGTTGTTTAGCCTCATTGTTTAGGGCCTGTGGTGAAGTAGAGCATCTTAGTGGGAGCATTTGGAGAAAGAACTCACCTCATGGAGACAGTGAGATGGAGAAGCAGACCAACCACACCTTAGACATTCCCTTCAAGGGCATGCCCTCAAAGGACTTCACTTCCAGTAGGCCCTACATCCCAAGGAGTTTACCTCCCAACATGCTAGGAGCTGGACCAAGCCTTTAAACACATGAGCCCTGGAAACCATTGCAAGTTTCTAGGAGAACCAACCATGTTATAGAGTACTTCGTAGAGAGCCTGGGGCACACTGTAAGTGTTCAGTGATTGTTGACGATAGGAAAATTCTGTCAGGGGCACTTTCTTTCTTGGGCAGTAGGGGGTTGGCGACAGGGTTTCTATGCATATCTCTGGTTGTCCTGGAACTCACTCTGTAGACCAGGCCGGCCTCAAACTCAGAGATCTGCCTGCCTCTGCCTCCCGAGTGCTGGGTCTAAAGGTGTGTGCCACCACTGCCCAGAATAAACACTTTCTAATATCAGTTAACATCACCAAACACTTCCGAGTTTGAAGAGTGGGGGTCTGGTGTCCCCAGATCTATGAAGAGATTCCTCAGTAGTGGAAAACAAGGGTGGCATGGGCCATCTTAATACCCTGCAGCTAGGCTTTTAGTTAGTTCTAGGTTGGAGCTGCAGCAAATGGCTCTTCAGTTTGGTTCTTCGGGATAGAGTGCCTGAGGATTCTGTATCAAGATGAACATTTTGAGTTTTCTCATATCTTCAAGTAGTTGTAACAGGTGTTCCTGTAATGTGAATGCCCGAGGAAGTACCTCAGGGTCTCTGTTAGGTCACGATTAATTGGACTCTTCAGTACCCTCAGCACTGGCTACACATCAGTTAACTTTTTTCTTTTCTTAAGACAGGGTTTCTCAGTGTAGCTCTGGTTGTCCTGGAATTCACTTTGTAGACCAGGCTGTCCTCGAACTCACAGAGATCCGGCTGCCTCTGCCTCCTGAGTGCTGGGACGAAAGGCGTGCACTGCCACTGCCCAGCTCAGTTAACGCCTTTAAAAATGAATAAATTTGAAGTTGTAAGACTTCTGAGACTTTCATATCACTCTATTGGGCTGTTTTCTGTCGCTGTAACAGAATACCTAAGGTTAGGTAACATAAATGGAAGACATTTATTTTGGCTCATGATTCTGAAGCCTAGGGAGTCCAAGAGCACGAGAGCAGCTTCCGGGAAGGGCCCACACAGCAAGTCAAGTGGAAAGCAGCAGGGCAAGTCAACACAGGTCAAAGGGCAGCAGGGCAAGTCAACACAGGTCAAAGGGCAGCACGGGTCAAAGGGCAGCACACAAGAGGCAACCTTGCTTATAGGAACCTGCTCTTGTGTGAACAAGCCCACTCCAGCAAGAAAGACAGCCATTCCCCTTAGCCACTAATCTTTTCTTAAAGCCCCACCCTAACATCCCCTCAATGGCCATCAGTATCCAGAGTGAGTCAGACAGGATAAAACATATCCAAACCATAAGGGCTAACCCTAACCTGTAGTGGCCTAAATCCATACATCCAGAGGCAGGAATTGTGCTTCCAGGTCACCCAGCTGGCCAGGGACAGAGAGCCCAGACGCCTTCCAGGTGCCCATCATCCCACTCTAGACAAGTGCACTAGCCTTTCTTCCTCGATACACCAGATCCCACTTCCTACAGCAGCTGTGCCAGAAGCTACCTTTAGGAGCACCCCAACCCAGTCAGCCCCCACCCCAGGGGTTCAATTCTGTGGCAGTGTGCTCAAAGAGGAGCTTGCCCATCTCTAAGCCCAGCCTATCCGCTCTCTCTGAGTCAAGGTCTTGTCCATAATACGATCATGGAAAGATGTCAAGAAGCCAAAGAGAAAGAATAGTTAGCGATAGATTAAACCAAAAACCTTTAGACTGTGCTTTTTGAGTGTAGAGATCACAAATCTATGAAACACATAAAGGTAGAAGGGAGACTGGGAGTGGGGAGCAGGAAGGAGAGGAGATATTGAGTGAACATAGTCAGGGTGCGTTGCAAACTTGAATGCATCTGTCTTTACATACCATGTCTTTACATGCCAATTACAGACATGAAAACAGTACTTTTTTTTTTTAAAGCATAAAGGGAGTTTGTGGAGTAAATGGTCACTGCCAGGGGCTTGTCCTCAATGGTCACGGCACTGAGAGTAGTCATTCCCTGGTACAGGGGCAGGCTTCTCATCTCTAGGAACACTGTCTTCCAGTCTGGAGGATAACAGCCAACAGAACTGTGTCATGGACACCTGCATCCAGAGGCTTCTGGAATCACTGAATGGTCAGACATCCCTGGGCTGCAAGTGGAAGGGAGGTAGATTCTCAAGAGTTCATCGCAAGCTGGGAGGTGGTGGTAGCACACGTCTTCAATCCCAGCACTCAGGAGGCAGAAGCAGGTGGATCTCTGTGAATTCGAGGTCAGCCTGGTCTACAGATCGAGTTCCAGGATGGCCAGTGATACACAGAGAAACCCTGTCTCAAAAAAACAAAAACAAAAAACAAAAAAACAAACAAAAAGAGTTAATCACAAATTGTCACTGGAGATAATTGTTAACCCTGGCCACAGGGCCTTTGAACAGTGGACACAATGACAGGTGATCTTGAGATTGCTACCAGCCACTTGTACCCATCTAAAGATCCTGGAATTGGTAGAATTCTAGAGGTTTCCTTCTAATTTCATCCTCTGTCAATTATATTTCCTTTCATCCAGGAGTGTTGTGTTGTTGGTGTAAAACTCTTGTTCCAGTGCGGCCAGAAGCCAAGTGAGATGCTGTTACCTCACATTTAATCTCTAAGTGAAACACCACATGATCTGTAAGGCCTTCAGGACCCCAAAACTCTCAGAATGGTTTGTACATATGTGGGTAGCTATGTATAAAGCTTCATTTTTAATTAAAATGTACAATCATTTTTAATACAAACCTTTGTAAGAAGAAATGGCTTGTCTGGTAATCACACATAGGCAGGACCTTCACGTCTCATCTTCACACCTGTGACCATCCATGAAAGTCATAATAGAAAATGCTGCATAGTAGAATTGGGAGAGAAATAATTACCTCCTGGGAGGGGGCAAAAGGGAAGATATTCCTCCAAATGGAATTATTGAATGTAAAGATGAGCTCACTGACTGTTAAGTCACCAAGCTGACCCCCTTGAAGTGTCCTTTTTGCTGACAAGCTTCATTTTTCTGTACAGGGATGCAGGGTTTTTGGTTTATTAAGAACAGTGCCTCTGGCATCTAACGTGTACATGAATGGGAATGCTAGAGAAATGTGGACTCTACTTTGGTAAGTCTAGACTGAGATCCTGTGTTGCTGACAGGCTCCCAAGTGATGCCAGGGTGCCAGGCTGCCAGGCTTCTGGACCACATCCTCAATAGCCAGTGATGCAGCTGAACTCGTGGAAGATGCTGAGCAATCCACTCCTATATCTCTGGGGCAGAAACATGGGAGCTGTTTCCTGAGGGGTCCACAAAGACCTTCTTTCTTGCTGTCATCCCATTGTGAATGATAGCAAACATGTCCTGACCTCTTCTGGGACAACCATGGAGAATGAATTGCAATCTTTTCTTAGTTTAAATAGCAAGGCATTGCCTCTATCTGATATTTCAGTAGCTCAGTGCTTGTTTATGAAATAAATCTAAGCTCACGCAACAATGGCATTGATTACTCCCTAAGGCCCTCATCTCCAGCCCACACACTTCATACAATATGGAAGCCTTGCCCAGTCTTGCTAACCAACTGCAGCCCACACTTCCTCCTTGCTTCCACTGGAAGTTAATTATCCTGCTGGGGTTTCTAAGTTATTCTGCTCACAATTGCCTCAAGAGTTTTCAGAGAAGAATAGGGTTTTACGTGTGAGGGAGTCAGCCTTAACTCCCGTTACAGCAAGTGAACCAGGTGGCACTTGCATTTATAGTTTGCAGATTCACTGGAATAATTTGGGACTCAGGACCTACATTAAACCTGGCAGGTCAGATCTTGAGTGACCTCTTCAATGCTGATGTTCAGCTGACCCTGAAGTTCATTACATGGTGAGAATGCCTTCTGGTCATTTTTAAGTGAAGAGAGACTGGAATTGTGAAAATAACATCTACAGCTTTGTAAAATATTTGAAAACCATTAACAAAGGCAAAAGAAAATGTTACATTATAAACTCAACTGATTGAGTTTGAGCGAGAATATGAATTTTTTTCTAATTTTCTATGCCTTTGAATTTCTATAACAAGCATGTCTTGATGTTGTAATTAAGAAAGTCTTAGTGGGGGGGGCGGTGGCACATGACTTTGATCCCATCACTCAGGAGGCAGAAGCAGGCGGATCTCTGTGAGTTCGAGGCCAGCCTCTACAAAGCAAGCTCCAGGACAGCCAGGGATGTTACACAGAGAAAACCCTGTCTTGAAAAGCTAAAAAAAAAAAAAAAAAAAAAAAAACAAAGGGGCGGGGGAGAGAAGTCTTGACTCTAGAGCGAACTCACTGAGGAGACCCTGCTTCTGTCTGCTTTGCCAATCCCTTCAGCATTCCTCAGTTCCCTCTTTGGGTCTCTGTCTTGTCATCTAGCCTCTACAGGGCTTACAGCTGTTCTGGAACTAGCTCCAAGTGAGTGAGCCACACCCTGAACCCATCCCCAAAGCAAGGGCTTGTAGCTAGAGTTTTCCTGCCTGGCCCACAGTCAGGACAAATCTCTCTCACCTGCCAGTCCCACAGCCGCTCAGACCCATCCAAGTAAACACAGAGACTTATATTGGTTACAAACTGTATGGCCATGGCAGGCTTCTTGCTAACTGTTCTTACAGCTTAAATTAATCCATTTCTATAAATCTATACCTTGCCACATGGCTCGTGGCTTACCGGCATCTTCACATGCTGTTTCTCATCGTGGTGGCTGGCAGTGTCTCTCTGACTCAGCCTTTCACTTCCCAGCTTCATTCTCCTCCTTGCCCCGCCTATACTTCCTGCTTGGCCACAGGCCAATCAGTGATTTATTTATTGACCAATCAGAGCAACATATTTGCCATACAGAACATCCCACAGCAAGGGCTCCTTGGGTAAGCCTTCGGGTTGCACTCCAAGGGTCCTGAGCAAATAGTGATTTTGGTCTCAAGTACATGACAGGAGTTGCCTCTGTACCCCAGGGGGGCAGCAGTGTTGGACGCACCTCTAGGCTCCCAGAAGGCATACTGACTCTTACCCTCTCAGTACCTACTACCAAGGTGCGCCCAGGACCACCACCCCTCATCCTAGGCCAGACCAGGCACACATACGGTCAAGGAGTTGTTCTGGAATGAGAGGGTTCACCTGTGAGATACCGGGCCACAGGGAATCCCAAGTCCTATGGTTGGAAAGGGGACTGTGGCGAGTCGTAAGGACAGGAGAGACTGAAGAGGACTGGGCCTCTTGTCTCCCAGGACTGACCAGGAGGTTACCACCCAGGCTGCTAGCAGAGATGCTTCCTTCCGTGAAAGCAGCACAGGGACTCGGAAGTCCACATTATCTCAGAGGGACCAGAGAATTCAGAATCCTGTGAGGTAAGTCAGCAGGTCCCCAAGCAATGAGAATGCCGGAATCCAGCTGTGAACCCTTGGAGGTGGGCAATTTCTGAGCCTCCAAACAGGTACCTAAGTGGCCTGCAGTCACTGCTTCCCAGCACTGGCTGTGAAAGATTGGGGCTGGCAAGAGAGTATCCATCTTCTGGGGAGAGGAGTCTTGGTCCACCCTACAATGGCTTGGATGACTGAGTATCTCTCAAAGCACACAGAATTAAATGTTTGGCCCCCTTCCTGTTGAGAGATAGCAAATGGTGCTATTGAGAGATAGTGAACAATTCTCCTCAGTTTCTGCCATTAGTTCTTTAAAAAGCCCCAGGCTAGCAACTCCATGAGACCCTATTTCTTGGGACCTCCTTCTGCTATACAGGAGCCCTGTCCACTCCTTAAACTCCAGCCTGTGACTCTGTAACAAACTTATAAAATTCATCCATTGCCAGACGTGGTTGTGCACATCTTTAATCCCAGGACTCAGAAGGCAAAGGCAGGCACATCTCTGAGTTCAAGGCCGGCCTGGTCTACAGAGCAAGTTCCAGGACAGCCAGGGCTATTACGCCTGCTTCAAAACAAACAAACAAACAAAAAACCAACCAACCAAACAAAAACCCAAACCAAACTAAACCAACAACAACAAAAACCCTCACTCTCTATGGTCCATGAATTTCATTCCTCAAATTTTCACAAGAACCTGGAAGCCACCGACTCAGTGGACATTTTGTGTGACTGTTAACATTTGGCACCCTAACTCCAGAGTCAAGCCCACCTGAGACAGGGGGACTTGTCTCAAGAGGACTCTGAACTCAAAGACACCCCCAAGTTTCCTGTATCCACTTACCTTGGATACCCTTGAATAGTTGTAGTAGGTTTAGTGTATCCTCACAACTCTGAGGGCCCTACATGAACCACCACCAAAAGCACATTATAAATGGATGACTTGACCAGTATGTGAATTATATCTCTATAAAGCTAACCCAAGACAAAGGGCCACACAAATATGCCCAGATAAGTTTTTAACAAAGGTACAAAAGCAGGAAAGACAGTCATTTCATCTAATGGTGATGGAGTGATTGGGCATGTCTAGAAAGACAAAGAAAAAGCTCAACCTAAGACTCATTCCTTACACAAATATTAACTCAAAACTGATGGCGTGATTTAAATGTAAAATAATACAGCCTTCAGAGAAAACTGGGAGGAAATACTCAGGATGTACAGTGATGTGAAATTTTCTTAGATGGGGTGGGGCTGGCATATGGTAGCAGAACATTTGCTGGCATGGCACATCCAAGGCCATGATGCTGTTGGATTCAGACTGCTCCAACAAGCCAAGATTGGTCACCCATCCTTGATAAGCCAATAAAAGAGCCAAATTAATAGTGAAAGGGAGATTTAGTCAATGTGGCCACACTGGAAAGAGGTCAAAAGAGATGCAGAGACACCCATACCCACACACCCACACACCCACACACCCCAGTCCATTTTATAGATCCCGGTGTGAGGATTAAGTTTAACTAGAAGGCATTTGAATGCTTAATTAGGCAGTTGAGTCATGTGTGGCCTCATCCATCATGGTCTTCCCAGCACTGGAACCCTCAAGCTGGTACCAGCTTTCAATACTTTCCTTCTCCCAGCAGGAGGTTCTTAGGGGACATTCCAGTTCCCAGTTCCTGGGGTGGGAGTGGGTTGTACCTTGTTTTAGTAGTCTAGATGATAGAGTGAAAGATACAAGTCTCTTCGGAATATTCTCCTTCCTCCTAGGCACTCCACTTGCACTGATAATCCCCCAATAAACAAAGAAACCTTACGCAGGCATCAGAAATGCAAACCATGAAATAGATGACAAGTTGGACACGTTAGAATTAACTACATTTGCACAATAGACCCTTTAGGAGGGTGAATAGACAAGCCATAGATTAAGAGAAAATGTGTCTGACAGGGACCAGTGTCTGGGCTACCCACAGAACTCTCAAATCCAACAGCAAAGAAAATAAGGGACGAGGGCAATTTGATTAGAAAAGGGCCAGCTGACATAAACAGACATTCTTTTGAAGAGGTCATACAGACGACAAACCAGCAGAGGAAAAGATACCCATTAGCCATTCAGTAAAGTCAAATTAGAGCCACAATAAAATATTGTGACATACTCATCAGGATGGATAGTGTACCTGCACACACGCACTTAAATGTTGGCAAAGATGCAGAGAAACTGAGTCACTCATATGTTTGGTGGGTGAGGATGTAAGATGGAACAGACTCTGGAAAAGAAATGGGAAGTTCCTTAAAAAATTAATCATGCGACTATCTAATATGACTTGGCCATTAATTGCCTCTGCATTTATTCTATGCATTTATTATTGTGAAATAAGGCCTTAGGTCAACACCAGGAAGTGATGTCACTGTCTTTTAATTGGTGAATGCTTAAACAATCTGTGGCACATACTGTGAAGATCTACTCATCCATAAAGCATATAAACAATTCAACCGTATCACAACCCCGATGGGTCTCTAAAAATCTCACTGGCTGTCAGGTGTGGGGAGTGTGCTGTGTAGTGTTTGACTGTCAACTTGATTCAGACCTAGACATAGCTATGGAAATGGAACATACATTGAAAAAAATGCCTCCATCAGATTGGCCTGTGGACATGTCTTGGGGCATTTTCTTGCTTGCTAATTGATGTGGGAGGGTCCAGCTTACTTCAGGGGTGTCATTCCTAGGGAGGTGGGCCTGGGCTGTCTAAGAAAGGCAGCTGAGCAAGCCAGGGAGCAGCACGTCTGCTTCCGTTCCTTCCCTGACTTCCCTCAGTGAGGGACTGTAAGCTGTAAGCCAGAATAGACCCTTTCCTCCCCACGTTGCTTTTGGTCATGACGTTTATCAGAGCAGCAGAAAGTAAACAAGGACAGGCAGCCAGTCTCCAAAGATTCCCTCCTACTGATCAGATTAGGAGATGAACTGGTCACGTGGGGCAGGGACCCTAAAGCATCACTTCCAATAATGTCCTTGCTGGAAGCCAGGATGCCCGAGACTGTTCAGATGCCAAGTTCCTTTCTATCTCTTAACCTTCTAGAAGCTATCCATGAGATGGATCCAAAATTGAGAGGAGGCACCAGAACACTTTGTTGGGCAAACTGCTCTGATCATCTCAACTCTTTCCCCATGCCTCTCCCCAGTTTCTGCTATAAATCTTTTAATATGCCCCCAGATTAGCAACTCGATGGTATCCTGTAGATGTATCCAACCTTCTTATTAAATAAGAAACACAGAACCAATGCAAAGAAGAAAGCCAAGAGGTCAGAGCTAAGAGCTAAAACCTTACCCTTCCTCCTGCGGTGGTCCTACCTCTCCGAACCAGAGCTACCCCTGTGTTAAAGTCTTTATATAGAGTTCCTGTCCTGCCTTCTCATTGGTTGTAAACCCAACCACATGACCGCCTCCTCACAGCCTGTCTGTATAGGCCTCCAGGTTTTCCATGATTGGTATTAAGATTAAAGGCATGTGTATCCAATAATGGCTGTATCCCTGAACACACAGAGACTTACCCAGCTCTGCCTACCAAGTGCTGGAATTACAAGCGTACGCTACCACTGCCCTGCTTTCCTATGGCTTGCTAATAGCTCTGACCCCCGGGCAACTTTATTTATTAACATACAAATAACATTTTAATACAAATAAAATATCACCATAGTATCCCATTCCTTGGGACCCATCTGCTATACAGGAATCCTGCCCCAAACCCTAAGATCCCACCTACAAATCTAAGGTGAACCTGAAAGTTCTTGGATTTGGAGTTGGACTGGGCCACTGTGACGGATTATTCTTTTGTATAAGAAATTGATTGGAAGAGTTATTAATGCCATAGACAACACCATGGCAATGGGATCTGAGGAGACTTCTGGCCCGAGGCAGAGTGGTGGTCACTTCTTACAGGTTTCAGAACCATGGAGGTGGCTGATAAATACTCCATAGAAGGACCCTTGTGGTCAGGTTGGCTCTGATGCTTGGGCAGCAGGGAAAAAAGAGGTTTTGCACTCTTCGGAAAGAATGTGTGGTCTTGGGGGTGTGAGGGTAGGAATGGGACCCATTCAGTTAATCTGTATCCTTCATTTCAGGTCTGCCATCAGTAGCCCCTGACAGCTTGGAGCCTGTTAGCCTGGGACTTGTCTGCAAAACCAGCTGCCTGTGGGCCTCCTGCTCAGCGTCTAGTCTGAGATCTAAAAACATTCCTCCCGAAACTCACCATCCCTGCTCTGTGAATTTCATTCTGAGTCTATGGAACAAGAACTCAGAGGCCACTGACCCAGCTGAAGTTTTGTGTGACTGTGAGCCCAGTGTACCCTGAGTCCTGAGTTAAAGCCGACCTGAGGTGAAAGGCAAGGTCTCCCTTCAGTGTAGCCCAACAAGCCTTCCCTTTCCTCCAGGTTGTGCATGGGGAGGAAGAAAGGGCGAGGGAAAATTCCCCACAGGTGCACTGGAGACGAGAGCAAAGGAGATTTGGAAGATGGCCCACCTTGCCTTCTGTTTGTCCTACAGGGTTAACAAGGCCCTCAACTGCATCCGTTTGACTCAGACCGTAAAAGGGAAACAGGTGTTAATAAAAGACATGATTACCTGAAAGAGAGGAAAAAAATACCTTTTTTTCTGCACTTGAGATTGGCCTAAATTTATCCAGGATGATTAAAAACAATAGTCTGGCCGGGCAGTGGTGGCGCACGCCTTTAATCCCAGCACTTGGGAGGCAGAGCCAGGCGGATCTCTGTGAGTTCGAGGCCAGCCTGGGCTACCACGTGAGTCCCAGGAAAGGCGCAAAGCTACACAGAAAAACCCTGTCTCGAAAAACCAAAAAAAAAAAAAAAAAAAAAAAAACAATAGTCTGTAGAAGAACATATCAACCATAGTATTATATTAATTTACAGCTTGATCACTCAGTAGGAAGGAGGGAACTCACCGAGCTACAGTTTTCCTGCCTCTACTACAGGCACATGCTAACTGATTGAACCTTCGGGCTTTTAAGCACTGTCACTCCCACATCTAGCCAGGGAGGATGTGGGGTAAGACAAATGCTTCTGTTAGCCTGATCCTTCTTGGCCATAGGTGCTAGCTGCCATGTGCTCATGACACTAAAAAAACCTTAAAGATAGCAGAGGTGCAACTTCAAAATCAAGTGCTCCCTCCCTTTTCACGATCAGAGGAAAGAGACTGTTCTTACCAGTCCCCATTCCCAACACAGGACAGCAGGCAATGGCCACTTGCTGGTAACTTAAGCATGATGGTTTAACAGGGCTTCCTTAATTGATTTCTGCTGACTGTTAGGCATATGGATTTAAAGATGTTTTACTAGCTACCTGCTATGTATTTAGTACTTACGTTTCTATGTATTTGGCAAATTCACTCATTTAAACCAAAGGCACATCTATGGTAGAGCATTCCCTGGACTGCACTGAATACAAGGAGACTTTTGGCTATCTTTTGTTTTCTATGACGTTTGCTTGGGAGCTTATTAAGCTTCACAGGTTAACATGTATACAGTTATTCTAATTTTATTACATTATGCTATATATGTAATTTGGATTTAACTCTTTTCCAATAAGATGGTAAATCTGTTTGTTAGTGTTATCACGCCTCATGATGTTAAAAAAATAAAATAAAAAGGAGCCAACAAATAAAAGGAAATATTAAAAGGATATAGAAATAAAGATATCTTTAACCTGAATTAAGGTAGCTAGATTTTTCCAAAATAACAAGATGCAGAAAAAGCTAGAAACTCTAAACAAGGGACTGGAGAGGTGCCTGGGTGGTTAGGGATATTTCCTGCTCTTGCTGAGGAAGAGTTTGGTTCTCATTCCAGAAGATCTGATGCACTCTTTTGGCCTCCCTGGGCACTTGCATACATGTGGCATTCACACACACAGACACACACACACACAGAGACAGAGAGAGACAGAGACAGAGACACACAGAGAGAAAGAGAGACAGAGAGAGAGGCAGAGACAGAGAGAGAGAGAGAGAAAAAAACTTTGAAAAAAGCCTAAATAAGTCACAGAAGGTCTAAGCTACATAAGGTATGCAAAAGGTGTGACTTAGAGGTGATAAGTATATGACAATCAAAGGTTATTAATGTCTAAAGACAAAGTTCACGTGAACCTCTATTTAAATTAACAGTGTTCTGTTATTATTTATTCTTCTCTTTGGTAACATTTGTAATAACTATCTTAAAAGACAAAAAGTGCATATCAATTTTGTTGGTTTGGAACCTCTGGCTTGCCCCTGCACCATCTGAGAAGCCCCCTTCAAAGGAAAAGGCCCCCAAACCCAGTTTCGCATTCTTGGCAGCTCCTGCAACTTCCCCTCTTGAAGTTGCCAGTCACCCAAGTCCCTGCCTTAGCACTCAGTTTTTGAGCATACCTGGGCACAAACCCAGCTTGTGGCAGACACATCATCACTTCTTGCCTACAACCTATAAAATCTCCCTGCTTTCATTTGGGGGGCAAGGCTTCTCTGGCCTCTATCTCTGGGATCTGAGAACCCACCAGGAGTTGTTCTGCTCAAATATACCTATTGTTATACTTTTCAGTTCGACTTGATCTGGCTTACTGTGTCAACGGAGAAACATTATTGGTAGTGGTTGGGTAGGGCTGGGGCAGAAAATCTATTGAATTTAATCAAAGTAACTACTTCAAAACTGAATCTTAACAAAGTTGAGATTTATTTAGAAGTGTTTGGGTTTTGTTCAACCTTTATCTGAATGTTATACAGCTGTTAAAAATGCCAGATGGCTATATTGGTATAACTGATCTTCTGGGTGTTCAATAACTACCCCTGGAAGCCTGTACTAACGTGGACAGAGGGACCTAAAGGGACAATATTTTGTTCCTTGGCTTCTAAGGTCAACTAGGTACCAGGGGACTATGGAATAACTCAAAGAGTCCATGAATTTAACTCTTTGAATGTGTAAAGGAAGAATGCAGAATCCACTGACTCAGTGGAAGTCTTGTGGGACAATGAGCATCCAGCACCATAACTCCTGAGTTGGAGTCCACCTGAGGTGAGAAGAAAGAGGTCTCTGTGGGCCTCAAATGCACCCAACTTGTCCCATATTACTACAAGATTATTTTGTATAGCCTATTCTTGAATGACAGCATTGCAGAAAAGGGGAGCTGGTGTTGGGGATGGAAGTGACATGGGATGTAAGTAGGCAACACCGTGAAAGGGAGGCCAGAATCTGACAGCCCGTTAACAGAGTCCTGGACCAGTGCTGGGAGTCCAAGAGCTCAGCTCCCACTTTCCTTGGTTTCCAGAGCACTACTCTGCTTATATGTGAGTGTCAGTTTCCTGTGTCTTCCATACAGCAAAGCTTTAAAATGCTGAAATGCAAGCTGGGCTCTGCAATGGCACCATGGTGGGAACTGGAGTCACAGTGGTGATACAGCAAGCAGGGTGGCTTCTGATCAGAGACCACAGGCCAGTGGCTCACACCGGAATGCATTTTAGGAATCCGTGCTGGAGGAATTGTTTATATAGTGATACATGTTCAATCATTAAACTCATGGCTGTTTAATATTTAATAACACGAGAAATTGCTTACATTATTTTGTTATGGAAAGCATTTCTACTCTTCATGTAAATGATAGTTAAAAAAGAAGAGTGAGTCAGAGGCCAGAGATGCCAGAAGTGTTCGGGGCTCTGATCCCTGATCTGGATCCTGAATGATTTAAAGGTTGCTCTTCCAATGAGGAAATGTTAGTGTGAAGAGGCCCCAAAATAGCTTGACCACACAGCAGCCATGACAGGCTTAGGGGCCTAGACAAAGCTTCTGTGACAGGCTTAATGGCAGGCAACACCCAGATCCAGGAAAAGCCTTAAGCTGACACCACCCAGGGGTCCACCCAGGGATGGGGAAGTACCTGACACCCCAAACATTCCAACCATTAGATAAAGTGGCCAGATGTCCCTGAGTCTAGCACATACCTATTTTTTGTTTTACAGATACCCCTAGACAATTGTCAGCCAATCAGGGTCCTGCACCCTGGAAATCCCCTCACCCCAACCTCTGCTATGATAAAAACTCTGCCCCACCTGAGCTCAGGGCTCTCTGCTCTCACCCCTGTGTCGAACAGACAGAGGGACCAAGCTCTGGATCTTGAAATAAAGGCTCTTCGCTTTTACATGTGGGATTTGGTCTCTGCGGTGGTCTTTTGGGGGTCCCTGCAATCTGGGCATAACAGTTAGAGCAGCAAAAAATGCCCTTTCAGGAAAAACTCCATCTCAACAGACTAGAAACTCTGGCCTGAATGGAGACCTAACATTCCAGTTAGGCCAGGTCAGTCACCTGGCGAAGTGACCACCCTCAGGAAAGCGGGTTCCCATTAAGCCAGGCTAAAGAAATAGGTGGGATGTTTTTGTCTTTAATGAGACAGTGTACTTTTCCTTTCCAGAATACCTCCCCCAAGCACTGTCCCTGAAGAGTTTAGCCACCATGAGATTCAGCTGGGTTTGCCCATCTTTCTGAGTCCTGACTCAGGAAAGTACAACTTTCCTTTCTCTTTTTTCTGTCTCTTTTTTTTTTTTCAGTTGCTGGCCAAGTCCTAAGTCTCTAAAGACCCCTCCCTGCCCTCTGTCTACTTGTCCATCCTGTGTCTGACCTCCTCACCAGCTTAAATTGCACGGCCCCACCCCCACCCCTTTCTCTCTTCCATTATCCTCCTTAGAGGAGGCTGTGGCTGCTGAGAGCCATAGCTTGGCTGCCTTGGGTGTTTCTCTTTTAAATTCTAATAAAATTGTCCTTGAGTTCAGGAAAACAAAAGTGAGGGCAAAATCAGTCCCAAAGAGAGCAGACAGTATTTGCTCCTGAGTGGTGACCTGCCCCTTTGACATTCCCTCTTCAAAATAATAAGATACTGAGCTGGTTGGAGAAGAGAAGAGAAAATGCACATAAGCCTTTCAAGAGGGAAGGGTGGGGCCTGCCCTGCTCTTCTTGGGAATGCCCCTGCAGACAGACACAGTGACCAGGAGGAAAGAGGAAGCTGGGATGAGGGGAAATCACACCCTGAGTGGGGCTGAAGTTCTGCACTGGGTCTGGAGCAGGAGCTGCATACAGCCTCCCACTGGGGTTCTCAGGCTGAACACAGTGCCTCAGGCAGACCGTGCAAAGAGCACACACCCATTTCCTCACATCTGTAGGGCAGTGCAGGGCCATTCTCCCAAGGCCTCGCCTCTTGGCTGGCAGAGGTTATCTTTCCTCTGCATCTTACATGGTCTCCCCTCTCTGTGTCTGGGGCCAAATTTCCTCTACCTACAAGGGTACTAGTCCTACTTGATTAGGGCCACCCCAATGTCCTCATTTTAGCTCATTTTCCTCCTTAAAGACTGATCTTTAAACACAGTGACATTGCGAGGTACCTGGAGTTAGGGTTTCGTCTTATAAAATTGGAGGACACAGTTCAACCCTTAACAAGTTGTGCTTGCCAACTGGATACAAATTAGAGTCACCTGGGAAGTGGAACTTCAGTCGAGAAGTTACCTTCATCAGATTGGTCTGTGGGTATTTTCTTGATTGCTAATTCATGTGGGTCTAGCCCACTGTGGGTTATGCTACCCCTAGGCAGGTGGGCCTGGGCTGTGTAAGAAAGATAGCTAAGCAAGCCTGAAGAGTAAGCCAGTAAGAAG